CAGCCGCTGCCGCTGACGGTATCCGGAGTTCCGCGCTCCCTAATATGGCGGCGGTCCAGCTGCCGCGCCTCCCGCTCCGCAGCGCCGCCGCCGCGCGCGCCCCCGGACCCCCTCCCACCAAGCCCCCTCCCCCAAACCCGACCCTCACTTTGTTTGCAAAGCAGCGTAATTGGTTTAAACTGGAAGGCTAGGGGGAAGAGGGAAATCGGTGGGGGAGTAACCCCCTTTGGAACAGGAAAAAAGAAAAATAGGCGGGGCCGGGCGGGCTAGAGTGCATTCAGGATGGTAACCACGCTGCCGGAGAAGGGCTGGGGACGTTGGCGTAGGAGCCTAGGACAGAGGGGCAGTATCGGGTAAATGACCCCAGCGTCCATACCCAGGGGGAATCACCGCCCCCCCGGACGCTGGAGCTTCTGCCCCGTCCCTTGTTCCAATCTTCTGCCACCTTCCAACTCCCCTCCCCCCCGCCCCCTTCTGATTCCTGACCTAAAGTTCAACCCAGGGAGACTGGAGAATACATACTACACCCCCCTCCATCTCCCCGGGATTTTAGGCTTGAAAAAGGAAAACAGCCCACTTTTGCCCAGTCACTAGAAACTCGGCCATCTGAGTCAGCCGAGTCGAGTGACGTTAGGTCGATCTGGGCTCCTGGCTAGCAGAGCGGAGACGCTGCCACGAAACCAGTACCTGCGGCTAAAAGCAGGTGAGTCACAGCACCGTTTTATATCTTTATGACATAACATTTTTTTTCCGCCTCGGTCCACTCTACTCTTCTTGTCATCTGTTGCGATCATAAAGAGGAAGAAACTGAGAACAGATGTCTGCGTGATAGGGCAGGCGGACCTAGTCGGGCCGTCCTCCCTCTGCCCAGCTCCTCCTCCTGCCCCCCTTCCGCAGCCTCCGGGAATGAGCTGGAGGCTACCGTCTGGTTTCTGATAGGGAAAGGTCAGGGGGAGGGGACAGTTCCCTAAAAAACGTGCGTTACTTGGAGAGCCTGGGCACCGGCGCGGGAACGCATCTGCGGGACTAGTGTGGTGCCAGGCTAAAGGGAGCGGAGGTTGGCGGGGTTGCCTAATCCGGGTCTCGGATCTGCAAGGCTGGGTTAGGACCCCAGGCGCTCCCTGGACATCGGTGGGAAGGCTCCCCCAAGCAAAGCCTCTAAGCTTCTATGTAGCCCTGAGTAGTGGATTGTCCACAAATCCTGGGGAGAAGGAACGACTGGGTGGTATGCAGACTTGTTGATAGATTGCACGATGGTGCCTGTGCGTTTCTTAGTGAGTATGTGTGTGTGTGTGTGTGACCATGTGTGTTGTCCCCTCTGTAAAACCACTTGGTTTCCTTAAGTGGCAATAAAACAAAATCCTTCCCAAATGACTAAGAAATCCGCAAAAACAGTTTTGTTTGGCAAAGTTGTTTTTAATATTATTAATCTCATTTCAAGAAATGTGTTTTAACTTGTCTTCCAAACAGATACCTTTTCCCCTTGTGCTTTGTTCTTTTAAATCTTTCTTCCTTGAAATCTGGCAACAGAATCACGTTAAATCCTTGAACCAAACAAATCTCTTAAGTCAGCAGGGGAGCATGAGAGGGTGAAGATGTGCAGTTAAGGAAATAAAAAAAGATAAAAGCATTGGATTACAATTCCTTTTTTAACAACAAAAAGGGGGGGCATCACATTGTAAGGGAAGGAATGAGAGTGAAATTAAACCCACCTGGAACTAAATGAAGTTGGCACCCCACCCCCAACTTCAGCCTAGCCTTGTGACTGAGAGCTAGTTCCATCAGTTTGTGTAAACGTGTGGTTCTGCACCTATTTCTCAGGCCGACAGTCAGAAACTACTTCTGTTGTGCAAAGTTCCCATCAGCACCAGGACCTTAATTCCATTTGTGGACTACTCGGATGCTTAGTTCCCAGAGCCTGACAGGGGGGTGGGGGAGGGGAAGGGACTTTCTTTGCTAATGAGCTTCCTCCTTCCCTCCCATAGTGAATATCCAACACCCTCTTGTCTTTACAGCAACGTCAGAGCATGACTAGGGTATTTCTATGGGCCTTAACAACTTAGCTTTTACGGTGCACAAAAGCAGGTGCTTTAAGAGGAAAAACCAATGTCACCTTAAAGGAGGGAGTCAATAAAACATGAAAAAATTCTTCCTTTTTTAGACTATTCGCCAAGCCTACTAGACCTCATTTTTTTTTTTAAGTCAACTTAAGAAAAGAAGTCCACCATTCATAGCGGAATGGCCAAAGTGAAGTTCCTCCAAAGTCCAAGACCAGAACTGAAGAGTGGACTCAGTTTTAGAGCTCTTGGCAGGAGGCCTGTGGGGGAAACCGAGGAATTCCTGCGATCACAGCGCCTCCTGTCGTGGGAAAAGAATGTTGAGTTCTTTTAGCAGTCCTTTAGCTTGGGCTGGGACAGGTTCGAACTTCAATAAATATCGCTTCGGGAGAAGAACCCCACGCGACTCCTACAGCCAGTGATTTCGGTACATAGAGTTGATTGCCCAAGGCCCAGGAAAAGGAAAGGTGGCGGCTCGCTTAGCGTCCCGTCTTTTTTCATCTCAGGGGACGTATTCTCCCACGCCTAACAAATCTAGGAGGTGAAATTACAGTGTTATTTCCAAACTCCAGATGCTATCCTGCCAGTTTCTTCCCCAAGTTTAAGTCCCGGTCCTGTCTTAAGCTGCTGTCTCCGGGCTGCCGGCCAGTAGCAGTCAGGTAACGTGACAGTTGTTGCGGCCCATTCACCCTCCCCCCGCCCCTCACCAAATCGGCCCTATCTTTCCGCTTTGCAAAAGATAGCGCTTGGGGGTGGGGTGGGGGTGTAACTAGACCTGTCTTCAGCCTTGCGGAGCCTGAGTGGACCCGAGGCAGGGAAACCACTAGGGCGTCCACGTGATGGATTCTGGGGTGTCCTAGCCAAACTCGCTTTGGTGAGAACAAGTCTGTGCCAGCCTGGCGCGGTGCGGTATCTGGGAGAGCAGGCTCCACAAGAGGAGAAAGCCGGGGCGGTCAAGACAGTGGGCTGCGTGGACACTCCAGGTGGCTGAGGGCGGAGGAAGCGGCTCCACCCTTCCCGGAAGCTATGCCTCCCACGTCCTCGCGGCCTGTACCCACGCAGTGGGCGGTGTGTGCAGGCGGCACCCGGTGCTTCAGCAAGACTCGGCCCCTCCGCCTCCCCTTCTCAGCGCTGGGTGCCCCTTCTTCAGACCTTCACCAGGGAGGGTGAAGCGGAGGGTGGCTATGGCGACAGATAGAAGGAAAGGGCAGGGCTCGAGCCTCAGCCCGTTCGGCTATTTCTGGAGTGCCGGGTCCTTCCCGTTTCCTTGGACCTCGGGGGAGGCAGCGAGCGGGACCCTGGGTGGCGGGCTTCCACGAAACCTCCAGGCGCCTCCCAAGGACTTCCCTCTCCGGTTCTCCCTAGTTTGCCCCCTTTCCTCGCGGACCAGTCCTCCCACACGCAAGGTTGTGTCTGGTTTCTGCCACCTTGGTCAAATTAGGGTCGTCGGAGATCTCCGCAGGCCCCCACTCTCCACCTTCTTCTTGATAAGAAGCTTAAATCCTCCGTCCGCGGGGGGTGGAGGGGTGGGGAGAATCCGCTGCATTGCTCGTTAAGTTTAAGTGTTGTCTTTCACGCTGTTTAAAGGCCACCCCAAGGATCGGGATCGGGGCAGGTTAGGACTGAAGAAGGCCTAGGACATGGACAACGACAGTTTCAATTACGTGTGCCAGACCTCTAAAAGCCGGGGTGTGTGCCCAAGCTGGGGAAGGGGCGCGGGCACAGTGAGAGGGCAGACCCCGGCGCCAGCCTTCAGCACCTTGCCCACCACCGCGGGAGGCGAAGCGACACAACCTTAGGGCCACACGGCTACCCTGACCAGAAGCTCCCGCGGGCAGAAAAGGAGAAACTCGGGACTAGGCCAGTGACCCAGCTACTTCTATTTCTTTCCTTTTCACTTTCCCCATACCTTCCTACCTACCATCCTCTGCCCCTTCCATCATTAAACCATTAATTGATAAATTAACCAACATGCTCCAAGGCCTTCTCAAGCTTCCCCCAACCTTCAGCCCACACAGTAGCTAGAAACTCCGGGACCACGTAACGCGCCGGGTCCAGCGGTTCCAAGCCGAGGTGTCTAAGGGTCTTCGCTGTGCCCCTGGCCTGGTAATTGTGCGTGGACCAAAACAAATACACATGCGTAGCTTTCACCTTATTAAACGGAGTTTTAATGTAATATTTCACTCTCGATTATTTGCCACTGTTTGCTCTTCCCCCGACTGCTCCTGGACCCGCCGCGGGGTTTCGGAGCGGCGCGGAGCTCAGGCCTCGCTCTCTCTAGCCGGATGTCTGAGCCGGAGCTGCTCGCCACCCGGCCTCGCCCGCGGGCTACAAAACCGTTCCTCTGGCGGTTAGCAGGCGTCGCCTAGCCAAAATCAACTCGCATTTTCATGTATTCAAATGAGAAATGTTAGGAGGAACGGCGGTCTTCCTGGGCTATCTCTAGTGGCGGAGGCAAGGAGAAAGTGTTCCTACCGTGCCCCCAAAGAAACGAAAACTTCCCCCTCTGAAGGCTGGGTATAGGTCAGGGCCCCCCACCGACACCTGAGTCCGGGAGGCGGCCACACATCTGCAGATTGCTTTCCTCCGCCTTTTCTACTACTCTACTCATAACCATCAGTGCCAGCTTGAGCAGACAGCCCAGTCCCCGCTGGTCTCCCCTCACCCTGCTAGCCCCTGCAGGGCTTCTGTGCTCAGTGGTACCCACCCTTTCCTTTGACTACTTGAAAGTCTCGAGGAAAAATTATGACGAATATTAGATCTCAAAGCGGAAAGAGCCTGGGGTGGCTGAAGCCCTACTGCGTGCCACAACTAGGGAGGAACTTTGAGATCCTGGCGTTTTCTCCCTCTGCCCTGCCTGTAAAGATTTCCAGCCTGACCTGGGGCGGTTCAGAACCAAGACGCCTCCACACGGTGAGATGCTAGAGTGGATGAGGGAAACCGTGGGCTGCGGAACACTAATCGAATGTCATCTCTTGCCTGGAGCCCACCAGCTTGAAACCGATTTCCTTCCTGAAGGGTCAACGAGTATTTAGATTCGCAGTCTTCGGGTCCACCCCACCCCCTTCCATCCATCCATCTGTCCGTCTGTTCTCCCTTCCACACACACACACCCAGGAGCTTTCCCACGGCCCCTCAGCGGTCCACGTTGGCTTAACTTTGGCTATTCAAACGCGATTACCCTCAAATTTACATAGTTGAATTAACAGATGCTTTTGCAACAACCATATAAATCATATCCTGCTCATGGAGAAAAAAGTAAAATGCATTATAGCCAGGCTTTTTTCATTGTATCGCCTTCTGCTTTCACTCACCCAGTGTTAAAGTTGTGCTTTTGACAGACAAAAAGACGAATTTATTGGAATAGCTAGAGAGAGATTAGTTACATTCATCGTTTAAAATTAAAATTCGATTGAAGGACACTGTTAGGTGGCATCTTTTGGGACTTTCAGCAGTTATTCCAGGGCTAATATTATAGGAAAGTTTTATTTGAAAACGAGTGCACTTGTTTGAAGTTTGGTTTTCCTTGTCCTGAGAGTCACAGTGCAAAACCAGTGATTAACTCAAGTTGCAGTAAATTTACTTCTAAACAGAAACACTGGTAAGAGACCTCCTAGGCAGCAGTCCCTTTCAATGGGATAGTAGCAAGATTTACAAGAACGTTGGCCAGATTTTGAATGCTGAGATCCTGCTTACTTACTATACGTGGATAAGAAATTAAGCTGCCAACATTGGACATCACTTGCCGTGACAAGTCCAGTCCAGCCTCCTTGGTTCTATGGTGAGACGTTTGCAGGCCTCCCCAATCAAGTAGACTCTGCTTTCATTAGTGTCACACCTTGCTCTAGATTCAGGCCAGGCTCTTATCACCCCTTCTCAACAGCAAACTGCTCTTTGGAGTAGGAACCAATGTGATTCCTTTTGACTGCCAGATCAGTCTGAAGCACAGTTAACTTTCAATAAAGATTTGTTGACTTAGTCAGCTAAGTGCCCCAACTCAGAGACTGGGCAGGTTGGTGTCAGGAAAAGATGCAGGAGTCTAGGAGCTGTATCTGATTCCACTGTCGCCAAGTGAAAGAGCCCACATAATGTGTCTCAGCTCCATGTACAGAGAAAACAAAGCATTTGTGGGATGAATGGACAAACATGTAAATGAAGGCATGGTCACCACCTCAGAGTCTTGCAATGTTTGAGCTTCTAGGCACATTGGTACCTTCCTCTTGGCATCTATACTTGACTTCAACTAAACTCACGTAGGTGAAAACATCAACTCGGAAATGCCCCCATTAACTGCCTCTTGACTCTGGCAGCATCAGCAGTTGCACTTACCCATCTAAGGTGTCAACTTGTGACCCAAGAAAAATATTTCTTTCCCCACCCCTCCTTTGAAAAGGCAGCAGACTTGCCTTCCAAGAACAGATATTGATTAAATGGTAAAATACCTCATCAACTTTCCATCATGCAAAAAGGTTTCACTCCAGCTGAAAAGGAAACAACTCTGTTTAAATAATATATTTAATTTGGCAAGCAAATGAAGCCAAACCCACTCAGTGGGGAGGGACAGCCTAGCAGCATAGCTCTCTTTAGGTTTGGGATTGGATTCCAAAACCCAGTGTAGGGTACTCATAGCTTGGTGCTGGGGGGGGGGGGACCTGGGGTTGGGGAGGGGGTTGTTTAGAGTTTGGGGACATAGTCTGGGTGGAATTTGTGAAGCAAGTCACAGGTTTATCCTCTCCAATGCGAGCTCGCTCTGGGCAATGTGGTGGTAGGAATTCAGAATTATCAGGCATAGGTCTTAAAATCGTCCCTTTCATTAGGATTCAAAGTACTGTATTTCACAGATAGTCTGTCTTCAGCATAATGTAATGATTTCCTGAAAGAACCACCAAACCTTTCAGAACCTACCATATTGTTGGGAAGTATTGCAACTGGATACCCTCCCGTTACTTTCTCCTGAAGTTTTATTTGCTTTAATGCATGCATGGGAGTCTCTGTGACAGGAAGCAAAGCTTTTAAGCTGCTGTTGGTCAGAAGTCACCTGGCAGAGAGAACCCAGCAGCTGTGCTGTCCTGGAAGTGCCATCCCATATGCCTCAGGCGGAGTGGGGTTCATGACTTGGATACCACCCAGGATTTGCTCTGCAAACTCCTTAAGTTCAGACCAGGCTCTTTTCAAGTGCTTTCAATGATAGGTTCGCAAGGAGGACCCCACTGTCTTTGCCCCACTGTTGTCCTCCTGCCAAAATACCTTATTTGTGAATTGCAGGTCTGTTCTGATCTCCTCATGAGCTTCCTCTCACACCCCCTCCAAGATAAATGGTTCAATAACTAAAGCACAGTGCTGAGATTGAACATCGGTTTACACTGGGGCAAGAGCATCTGAAGTTACTGTAGGTGCTGGGTGGGAATAAAGCAGAAGGTCACCCCAAGTGTTGAAAAAGGGATGAATGAAGGACTAGAGAGTATCTGAGGGGTTAGCAACAGGGGCTTGGAAGTGGGGACTAAAGTCGGGATCCTCAAGGAGGTCTATGTGACCTGAACTTTGCACAGGAATCCAGATGACTTAGTTTCTTTCCTTTCCAGATAAGGAGTTTGGACTTGATGTCACTGGGCTCTGGCAGTCATCAGTTATAGGAACAAAACCTGGAGTGGCTGAGGAACAAGGGTCTGGAGCTAGGAAAGGAAACATTACGGAGTCGAGGGTAAGGGGAAGTGGCTGTGCTCAGAGCGGTTGAACATCTCTCCTCAAGAAGCCCAAGGCTTTGGAAGAATGGGTATCAGGAAGAAGACTTACCTCCTTTTTGCTCAACATCTAGTTTTATGTTCCATGCTTCATCCTAAGTTTGGGGCAAAAACTTACCCCTGTTCTTTCCCAACATCTCCAAATTGTCTCCAGAACGATAGAGAACCTAGGATGTCTTCCCACTTCCCTATTCAGGCAGATTCCTTGGCAAGGTGCCAGGAGCCCTATCACATTCTTCCCTGGGCAGGACTGGCAACTCCAGCCCCAGAGGCTGAGTCTGAGGCTCTCTCACTGGACAAGCTTCAACTCAGCCCATCCATGCAATTGACAAAGACTGCGAGGCAAATATTTAGGAGCAAGGGATTAGAAATCATATGGATCCCAGTCTGTATTCTCTGAGTCTGTGTTTTCTCAACGTAAAATGGGTCCATTAGTACCTATCTCGCACCAGTGAGGTGCAGAGTGAGTGCTCTAAATGTTAATAAAAAGAATGAAAGTGTTGGAAGAAGGCTGGGAGCCTAAGCAGTGCTGGAGGGGCAGGTGAGGGGAACATATGCATGGGAGCTGGAGAGCAGGGCCTTTGCTTGTGGTCACCAGCCTAGTTCCATGGAGGTCGTCATCATTCTTCCAGCAGCAGTCGGGAAATAGGAGGAAGCGCCTATGTGAGAAATGAACCCTGCTTAGCTGCACCTGCATCCAAAGCAACCTTGTCCACACTTCCCTCTCAGTCACCACTGCAGCTTGCAGTGGCAGAAGAAAACACCACCAGAAGGGAGGTCCACAGGCAGCACAGGAACAAATTAGGGACCTTTGGGGTGGGGAGGCGTAAGGGGTGAAGAGATGGGAGGTCTCATATATCCTACCCCAAGGCCCACTCCTAACCTCCCAGGATAGCTAGACAAATTGTCCTTCCCCCTACCCTCTGTAAGAGGGTGGGACATCTGGCTTCAGGAGCCCATACCTGACTCCTGGGGGACCACCCAGAGACGGTGAGCTGGCCCCAGGCACTAGCTAGACCTGCACCACTATCCTGGCTATGGAGACCTCAGGTAAATCTGACTTGGAGCCTGGAAGCAGCCCAGCAGGAGAGGTGAAGGAAGCGGGAGGCAGGAAAGGAAACTGATTTGGCTCTGCAGGGCCATTCTGCTCTCAGCACCTAAAATTGGGGTGAGCTGAGATGAGAAAGCAGGACCCTTGATTCACTAAGGCAATTTTTCCTTTCTGCCTCTGACGCCCTCCTCTACTTCCCCTCTCATATGTCATTAGAAGTAACTGCTTATTACTAATCTGAAGCACCACTTAAGACATTTTCTTTTTTTTGTTTTTTCAACACTGTCATGGTAAATGTACATTGTAGTTTCTTTTACAAGGTTTAAAAAATCTGTCCATCAGTTGCATCTTATTTATTTATAATTTCTTTATTTGCATAAAATCCTCAAACCCCAAGACAATGTTATAGCAAGGAAATTTTGGTGCTGCCTTAAAACTCTTTGATATAGCTTCCCCTAAAAAAAAATTTTTTTCCTGAGAGTCCAAACCTATCTGAACCAAAGCTCACATTCTGGGCTTATGGTGGATCCTGCAAATATTAAAGTCACTATTACCTTGCCCGTGCAGGAAAGCTTAATGAGATGTCAAGTCTTAGTTAGGACAAACAATAGAATATATGAAAAGACCACATCACAAAGGGTCTCACCAGATGTAGATCAGTTTGCTGAGTGAAGATTCCGGAGCTAATTGACCCTTCCAGCTGGGGAGGCTTGGAAGGGCTGGAGGTAGAAAGGGAATCCCTGGGGCTCACGTGAACAAGGACCAGCAAATTTCAGACAGGACGTGGATGGGCTAAGGTTTGTTTACAGTTCTGTGTACAGGCTCTAATAAGTTTTTGAATTCTGCTTCAGTTAGTAATCAGAACCAGGTGGATAAAATATTTCCTCCACCAGAGAACAGAAAAACAACACATCTTCAAAGCTTATTAATTTTCCTTAGATGGGTATTGGGGGAGGTGCACTGGAGGGACCCTGGCTGGTACACAGACGTCTTAGGCTGTGAGCTCTGGCTAAATGCAGCTTCTGTTTTTACAGCTTACTTAGGGAGAGCTGTTAGTTTTTCTAAGCATAAATCGGGCATTGGTTCTCTAAGCTCAATGTTTAGGCTACAAAGCACATCCAACAGCCTTACATACCTACCTTTAGAAAAAGAATGGTTCTGGAGAAGAAAGACTTCAAGCTCAGCAAAATCTCCAGTGCATTACCATACTTGAAGAACACCTAAGAAAGCCCTTTGGAAGTGTAAAATGTAACTGGAATGCTAAATACCAGTCACTACCTGCAAGAAAAATAAATCCTCAATTCTTAACCAGGTACACCTGCTTTGGACCAGGCTTTTTTGTCTTCTTTGTATTTTTTCTTTTCATTGGGTGGTTTTACTTACAGTGTTCTTTCTGGTCAGTGCTTTCTATTTTTGTCTTAGAGTCCTGGGTTTGGGTCATCAGACTTCTGAGAAATCCTAGGGAAGGGCGATGGCTGGCTTCCCAGTGGTCCACTCCTTAACCAGTAAACTCTGATGTTAGAATTAAGTCAGAGTTGGGGTCCAGAAGGAAGCCTCACTTATGTTAATAGGGACACTCTGGGGGAATCCGAGGGGACTGAGGACAGAGGATGGATTAAGCAATGCTGAGGCAGGCCCCCAAGGTTGGGGAACTGTTGCAGTATATATTCATTTCTGTGGACTCATGCAGAATAGGCAACTTCAGGGAGAGGACTTTGCTAGCTTTTTTGTTCGTCTCCCTCCTCTGCCCTGTTCTCTGCTCCAGAAGCTGTCTTCTGGAGCCACACCACCCAGTTTTTTTTTTTTTTTTTTTTTTTTATTATTTTTTTTTGAATTTACGGACTTGCAGTTCAGGGCCATGATGAAGGAATGAAGGACAAAGGAACA